CAGTTCACCTGGCTGCCCAATGGCAGCATTTCCCATTGCGATGCTTCTTCATTCTTCTCAACTCTTCCTCTTGGGACAGGGGAGAGCCTTTTACTAAGGAGACTGCAGGCTGTGGAAATCCAGGACAATGAGATCATCAAGGGTCTCAGGGGAGGAGAGGAAATTAAAAAAAAAAAAAAAAAGGTAGGAATCTTCATCAGAAAAAAACACGTAAATAAAGACAGGAATCGCTGCTGCTTCTCAGGGGAATCGGATGCCTGGCTCGCTGCGGCAGCGGGACCCCTGACTGCACCGCCTACTGCCATTGTTATGAAGAGGAGTCCAACAACGCGCTGGAGCATGGAAATGACTGGAGGCCGGCGCCGGACCGGGCAGTGTTCCCTTCTGTCGTACACGGGGTCTGCTGACTCGACAGCACGTGACAACCACCTCTGTGAAGCATGGAAACGACTGGAGGCCGGCGCCGGACCGTGCAGTGTTCCCTTCCGTCGTACAGGGGCCTGCTAACTCGACGGCACGTGACAACCACCTCTGTGAAGCACTGCAGGTCCAAGGCCTCACATCCAGAACTGGAGACAAGCCTCCACTCACTCAAGAGAGGACATCTCTAAACATCAGCATCATTATTTTTTTTAATCTTATTTTGAGAACTGCAAATCAAATACTTTAGTTAAAAAATCCAGTCACTCACTCTGAAGTGCAATCCAGAAGGCAAGGCCCACAGAGCTGCAGGATCACTGCCCTTCCCCCCCGGGCCCCTCAAGACACCTCCGTGTCCCTATGAAAGCAGAGCAGTTCTGTCCTGACGGACAGTGGCCTGGTAACGGCCTCCTCCCACAGTGACAAGGTCGTCAGGGTTTCCATCCTGCTCTGAGGAAGAACCTGGTTCAGCAAGGGGCCTCTGACTGTGAAGCAACATCAGGTGCCTGGAGAGCCCTCTGTTAAGTGCGGTCAACTCTGCCTGGAGACAGGCCAGGACCCCAATAGTGAGACTAACTGCAGCTGACTCTGCCCAGAGTCGGTGCCTTGGTCCCAGACGTCAAGTGGTTACACTGACTGAGCCGACTCTGCCTGGAGATGCTGCCCCACATATTGGGAAGTTACACTGACCGTGGCCAACTGCCCAGAGATACCCCTGGTCACAGATATTGAAGGTCAGACTGACCATGGCTGACTCTGCCTGGAGACACTGCCCTGGCCCCAGGCTTTGAGTGGTTACATTGACTGGGGCCCAAATAGTGAAGGTTAGACTGACCACGGGTTTCCAGATTTCCCAGAGCCCATGGGGCCTTATCCCCAACCCCTTGCTTGACTGCCACAGCCCCATACCTGCTGGAAGAGGATGGGTCGGACACAGCATGGACCATGTC